GAAAATGTTCTTAATTGACTGCTTTATCAACAAAATTCGCTAGGCTACGTCAAATCCGGCCAGGATACCAAGGCGCCACTGAAAACTAAGGTCGTAACCACTATAGGATAAACGAATGTACGATCAGCATCATGGACGAAAGAATAACTGAGCAAAAATCAAAAGAACCCAATCACCGCCCTGGACACAACTATTAATATAGTCCTACGCCAAAGATGCGCATAGGATGGTCGGCTAAATGACATAATCCAATGTTGCCCATTCGAGTAGTTTGGCTGTACTATTGAAGACAACTTCAAAAACGGTGGAAAAGGAACTTGCTGTAGAAGTGAGTTATTGCTGCTCAGCTTGGTCTTTCACAGTCCGATTCCGTGCATGATCGTATTGGCTGTTTTGACACGGAATACAGACCTGTGGAGTAGATGAATGAACTGATACTCGGTTCCTTAATGGTATGAAATGTCTCACTCCTGCGTATTATTCTTCCCGTCTATATGACTTGAGGGGTCGCGAAACGATACCTGGCAATTATGAAAAGGGAAAATATACCTACGGATGGTCAATCTCTCACGGAGATCTTGTCCCTGTCTGTACGTAATAGGCGCGCCCTCCAAGCTCGACCTCCGACTCGACAGTGCAATAAGGTACGGTGGAATCAATCTTAACAATCTACTTATCTTGTGGGAATTTGAAACCAGTTTATTACGGTACTAAGGCGGGACATGTCCCAAGTGGGCAATGGAATCACTTACTATAACTCTGACTACACTTGCTACATAGGCTGCCGATCAATTATCCAAAATACAAGAGATATGGCCATATGGCGATATTGCTAAAAAGGTCTCCTAAAGAAGTCTCAATGGGAGAATGTGCGTTCGAAAATAACCGAACACTGCAACAGATGGATATTAGGAAGGATGAAACTGGCCTGGATTCGGCTATATGCAATACCTTCTATGCAATTGATAGAGCTTAGAGCAGAAAGCTTGATATTGATTAGGTAACACGAGTTCGTGGGAACTTTCGTTCTTTTGAGGAGATACAAAGTTGAGACAACATCGGGTAGAAATAGCGCACTTCCTTGCATTAGAACCGGTCATAGCAGATACGTGGTTTTGTTAAATATGATTGAAAGTTAAACAAGACAAATATTCGTACTTGACGAGAAACCTTCAGAATTTCCTTCCTATTATGTTATTGAATACAACGTATCCTAGCAAAGGGCAAGGCTAGATTGCAATATAGGTTCTTAAAAGATGCGCAGTTTGTGTAGGTACAACGGCGTAATACTGGTGCACTTCCTAATAGAGATAACGGCCGAATACGTGTACTCCCCTAACAAAAGTAAGGCGCCTACGCCGAGGCCATATACAGCAGATACGAAAGGCGCTACCAGCAATAAACTGCAAACGAGAAGGGAGCCTAGAACTTAATAAATGCCTTTCTGGATGCAAACGTACTTACAGAAAATTCCACCAGAGCCGTCGGCTAAACATATCAGTCGCTACAATGCAGTGGCGATATATACTTCTTAAGTAACCAGGGTTTGCAAGTACATGTGGTGAAACGGTGAGAAGGATTGCGGAATGTGTCCTACTTCATAAGGTACAGGGTCGCACAAGCTATAACCCTTTCAGAATGCGATTAATAAGATTTAGGAAAGAGCCGAAACTCCCCACGAAAAAAAAACTCGTAGGTAATAAGAAATAGGTCCAAACGAGGGTAAATTGTATTACGCAAGGGCTTTCGACATGCTTCTGAGGTAATCCGCGTGCTTGATGTACGGATGAGGCTCGGTCGGTGCAACACTCCATAGGTCCGGCGTAAGGTATTCGTAGGTCTTTCTTATCGCAGCATACGTGGCTTTGGCTAAAAAGTCCGGTTAAAAATATCATGAAATGGCTTACCAAAGTTGCCCAGTGTTGCAGTTTGACCACGGGCACTGGTGTAAACATCCTCAATACCGGCCATCGACAAAAGTTTCTTAGGGACAGGTGCACTAACAATACCAGTTCCTCTTGGTGCTGGTATAAGACGTACAAGAACGGAGCCACACTTTCCCGTGACTTTGCAAGGAACAGTGTGTGGCTTGCCAATCTTGTTACC